CCAAGTTTCAGGATTCCAGCTCTATCGGTTCACTCACAATTCAAATTGCACCAAATTTAGTACACATTATTACAGATTTCTAAAACTTCCTACATATATCAATCTTACACTTCAACAGTGATCCTGACTCCAAATGTCATGATTCTAGCTCTATTTGTTCACCTAAAATTCAAATTGTACCAAATTTAGTACCATTTAGTACCCATAATTATTATTTTCTTAAACTGAATCCTGACCCCAATTCCACACCACTACAGTGATCCTGACTCCTAATTTCATTGTTCCCGCTCTATCGGTTCACCCAAATCCAAATTGTACCAATTATAGTACGATTTAGTACTTTTCGTACTCATAAGTAACAAATTTCCAAAACTACGTTCATATCCCAATACTACACTCCGTCGGTAATTTTAATTTAAAATTCGAGTATTCCAGCCCGATTTGTATCTCCAAATTAAATTTGTACCAAATATAGTACCATATAGTACTTTTCGTACACATGAGTACACGCTTTCAAAACCATCTTCATAAATGGACTCTACTTCTGTACCTTAATTCACACTCCAAATTTCATGTTTTTAATGCTATCCGTCCACATGCTACAGAATTGTACCAAATTTAGTAGATTTTTGTACTTTTCGGATAGGTTTAGTTCGAATTTCCAAAAATTCTTTGGTACATCTATCCTACACTCCATCAACGAGCACCAAACCAAATTTCAGAGTTCTAGCTCCAACGGTTCGCCAAATACAAATGGCATCACATTTAGTACGTTTTAGTACTTTTCGTACCGTTCTAGTACGAATTTCCAAAAACCCAGCCTTATCTGTCACATTTGGACCAAGAGTGACCCTCACCCAAAATTTCAAGATTCTAGCTTCAGCCGTTTCGTCTGGGCGTTGATGAATCGTTAAATCTGTCAGTCAATCAATTTACTCTTTTATTAGTATAGATTAGTAATAATTGCTAACTTCTAGTCGGTGCAAATAACGCGAAATATTGCCAATGTTCAGAATATAGAACAAAAGAAAGTTAGATTTTCGTGGAAGTTGTGTAGGGTATCATATGGTCTGCCCCGTCCTACTATACTGCTCCGCTCACTGGTTTAAACATATTTTCTCGACGACCTAACAAAAGCGTGGAGTTTTTAAAAATATTTTTTCGTGCTCCCAACAAAGTCGTGGATATTTTAAAATTTGTTTCCATTTCTTTGCTTGTTTTATTTTCACTACACCCTAATATATTTCCAAACCTGGTTGTTTACATTCTAGTTTCTTTTTGTGTATATATTGCAAGTGTTAATTTTTTGTTGTGTTAAGATAATCCAAAATACAACAAGTCATAAATACATGTGAAAATATAAAACGATTTGAGAACATCTTGTCATTCAAAAATTTTGGGGAATTAGCAACGCCAAAGATTTCAGTAAGAATACTGACCATTGTTATGGAAAAAGGTTCTAATTTATTTGCAAAGTTATTTCTATTTTTTTTTTATTCTTTGCTTTTCAATATTCATGAATGGGAGACACGCAGAGACGTAGATGGACACACACACTCGCACTATACTGACGGCTTATGCTAAAATATTCCAAGATATTCGAACCTAATTAGAAAAGCCACTCATGTATGAAATGAACGCCTGACGACGACTGACTGAACGACTCTTTAAGGCATTAACGCAACGCAACGAAACGTGTGCTCATATTTTAGTAGCCGAAAAAAAATCAAAAAATTATATTAACAATAGAAGAAATTTCCCCTTTTCTGTTTTTTTTTTTATAGTATTTTTTTAACGTTACTTGGACTTTGTAGCATAATTATTATTAAGAAAGCCACGATAAAGAGAATATTGCAAAATATTTTTTTTTTTCTTCTTCAAAGAATCTTCATTCTTCAAAGGCATGAATAATAACGAACTTTTTTATTAATATTAATTTTTTACTATAATAATTTGTATTAATTGCTGCGTAAATTTTCCAAATGCCTCTGAACAAAGCTTTGATCAAGAGATATTGTTCGTTTTAGTATTTTACATGAACTTACAATAGCGTGAATTATATTTCATGCTTCGTTAATATTCAATAACCTTAGGCTATAGGCCAAGCGGAGAGCACTTTGTGTGATGTGTTGTTGTAATAATTTCATTAACTAATACAAACGTGAAATTAAAATGAACCCAGAGTTATAGTAAAAATTGGGGCATTTTGGCTGAACCCTTAAAAAATATATTTTAAAAATCCAAGCCTTTGTATGGACATTCAAAAATATTTTAACCAGTAAGGAAAGTAGTAAAAATCGGAGGATATATAGGAACGGTGGTGCACCATTTACATAAAATCGGAAGAAAATATATATGGGAGCTATATCTAAATCTGAACCGATTTTCACGAAACTTAGCACACATTATTCTAGACCTAATTCATAACGCTGTGCCAAATTTCGTGCAAATCGAAAGATGTTAAGGGACTTTGGTACACCATTTACCTCAAATCGGACGAAAATATATATGGGAGCTATATCTAAATCTGAACCGATTTTCTGGAAACTTAACACACATCATTCTAGACCTAATTCAGAACGCTGTACCGAATTTCATGCAAATCGAAAGATATATAGGGACTTTGGTGTACTATTTACATTAAATCGCACGAAACTATATAGGGAGCTATATCTAATTCTGGACCGATTTTCACGAAACTTGGCAGAAATCATTGCAGACTCAATTCAGTACTCTATGCAAAATTTCGTGTAAATCGAAAGATGTTAAGGGACTTTGGTACACCATTTACCTCAAATCGGATGAAAATATATATGGGAGCTATATCTAAATCTGAACCGATTTTCACGAAACATAACACACATCATTCTAGGTTCAATGCAGTACGCTGTGTCAAATTTCGTGCGAATCGAATATATATATATACGGTCTTCTGTGTACCATTTAAATTAAATCGGACGAAAATATATATGGGAGCTATATCTAAATCTGAACCGATTTTCACAAAACTTTGCACACATTATTCTCGACTCAATTCAGTACGCTGTACCAAATTTCCTGCAAATCGAAGAATATTTAGGGTCTTTGGTGCACAATTTACATTAAATCGGACGAAAATATATATGGGAGCTATATCTAAATCTGAACCGATTTTCACGAATTTTAACACACATCATTCTAAACTGAATTCAGTACGATGTGCCAAATTTCGTGCAAATCGAACGATATATAGGGACCATTTACCTTAAATCGGACGAAAATATATATGGGAGCTATAATCTGATTTGGTCCTTTGGCCAAATAAATGGCCTATGCAAAATTTTATCTTTGCTCACAAAAATACATGGATGGACGGACAGGCGGACGGACATGCCTAAATCGACTTAGAAATTGATTCTATGCATATTCTCAAAAGAAACCATATGTCTATCTGTGTCTATCTATGTCACATATGCACAAAGACATAATACCCTGTACCACAGTATAAAAATAGGAGTCTTCATTGGCCAGACCCCATCCTACGTACAAAATTTCGTGAAAATTGGTCCATAACTGTGGCCTGTATCGTGTTTACAAATTATAATGGGCAGACGGACAGACACACATGTCTAGATCGGCTAGTCGAGATATGACGTTCGATATACTTAAAATTGGGTTTAGGACCAATATTTCGCGGTATTACAAACTTTTGGGGCTGCACAAAGCTATAATACCCTGATAACATAGTTGTGTAGGGTATTCAAATCTATGCCTCGTTTGGGACCTCAAAAATATTTTTAAAAAATCCACTCTTATACCTTAAAAAAATATTTTTTACAAATCAACTCCTCCGAATCCACGGAAATCATTCCTTTGACTTTAACCCTTACACATTGACGTCATACTTTAGATTTTTCCATTTGATAATTTCCCAGCGAATAACAATCTCTGTTTAAAATACAACAACAACAACCAGCCTTTACGCATCATCGATATTCTGAAGTTCACTTCGAACGCATCCACTTCCCGACAAAACAAGTAGCTTAGAATAATTACAAGTCAATCTGTCTGTCAGAATATCAACAACATCACGACTTATCACCAATAACATGCTGCAGCACTAATCCCAATCCCCTACAGCCTCCGGTGATCATTGGTACCAGTCCCCCTCTTCCATCCTAGTGAACAGCAGCAAAGCTTTTTAAAATCAAAAGCATAAATCCCAAACAAGCAGCAACCTGAAGCTTCTGTATCTACTACCGCAACAGCCTATGGGCAGAAAAAAAAACGCGACTAGACGCTTGAATTAGCCCCTGGTTAATAATGAACAAAACACCAACAACAATAAAAATAACAACAACACAAAACAGTAACAACATTTTGAGTCATTCACAAGTTCTGATATCTCACAGTGTGCAATAAACCAGCAACAAAAGCGGCCGAATAAGACGGATTCCAATCCATGGTCTGTCTATCTTTTGAAAGTTAAAACAAACCGAAACAAAAATCGAAACAAGTGCTATATAAGGCTTAAACCGGTTTTTGGTTTTAAAGAAAATAATTTTGGCAAAGAAAAAAAAGATTTTGCTGTAATTTTTTTATTTTTTTTTTTATTGCGAAAGAAGGAAGATTTTTCAACTCCGAATAAAAATAGCAACAACAGCGACGTCGAACACTTAGAACTAAACGAAAAAAACAAATCTTATCACGCAGTCGAGCCGAGCACACGTCTGTCGCCGTAACGTAAAACGTGTTTGGAATATTTAAATCGTCAACCATTTTTTTTATTTCCAGAATTTATTAATTTATTTAAAAAAACGGCAGGCAAATTAATATCACAGCAATCGAGAGCACAGCGCCAAAGTCAATCCGTCAGTTCGTTCCCAGTGTCCCGTCTTGTAAGACGACAACGTGTCGGGTAATTTTTTTTCAATTTTCGAAATTTTGTCTTCCTCAAAATCAATTTCCGCGCCCGGTGTGTAACCTAGAAATAGTAACCTAACGACCAACCAACCATCCATCAATTCAAAATGAAGAGTTTCATCATCATCAGTGCTTGTCTGTTGCATGCCGCACTTGCTGCACCACAGGTAGGAATGGGATGCCAAAACTTCGTTAATACGATACGATAATGTCTTTTACAAGACAGATCATGCGTCAATTTCATAAGAAATGCATTTAGCGTGTGTCAATCAATGTTAAGTAATCGGAAAACCCCTAGAGGTAGTGGTATTTGTGGAATGTGTTTGTGTATGTGTGAAAGATAAGAATCAAAAGGGAAATGGATTTTTTTTTGAAAATATATTTAAGGACTAGGAAGAGGAGTGGATTTTTTTAAAAATATTTTTTATGGTCCATATTAAGGCGTGAATTTTTATACCCTACACAACTATGCTGTCAAGTTATTATAGCTTTGTGCAGCCCCAAGAGTTTGTAACGCCGCGAAATATTGGTCCTAGACCCACCTTTAAGCATACCGATCGTCATACCTGGACTAGCAGAGTCGATCTAGACATGTGTGTCCGTCCGTTATAAATTGTAAACACGATACAGACCACAGTTATGGATCAATCTTCACGAAATTGTGCATGTATGATGGAGACCCCTATTGTTTTTGGTAAAGATCGGTTAATATTTAGGGGATGAAATGGACCAAATACTTAATTTTTGTCGGTTTTTCTGGTCGCTCTAGAGGCCGCATTTATGACCCTAACATCGCAGAATATTACATGGAGACGGGGATTGAGCCAAAGAATAAGCATGCCTGTTTTTATAAAGATCGGTCAATATTTAGCGAGTCAAATGGACCCTGATTTTGTTATGAAAAATTACAAAATTTGTCTTCTATGGGGAATATATCTACACCTGAAGGATTTAGAGCCAAGAAGTTCACAGAATATCTAAGGAGTGGTTGGGAGTTAAACTTAAATATCTACAGGTACTTACGTATTCAGATATTATTTAGTAACCCATTACCACACTAGAGGACAGAAATATAGCGATGATGGCTTTAGAAATTTCCAAGAGGTTCCAGTTATGGTCAAGAACAACGCCTATAATTTTCGGTAATGATCACATAAAAAATTTGGGAAAACTTTTTTTGTGTTTATTCAAGTCGATCTATAGGCCACAAACCGAACATCATAACAATACCCACGGTGAAGGGAATCTGGACAAGTAATTAGAATATTGGGAATATTCGGAAAATATTTCAGTGTAAGGGAGAGGTGCTGTTGATCTCTAATCGATGAAGATAGTTAAGTTCCATGATAGTTGTGTTGGGTATCGTATGGTCGGCCCCGTCAAAGGCATGGATTTTTACACCCTACATGACTATGTTGTCAGGGTATTATAGCTTTGTGCAGTCCCAAGAATTTGTAACGCTGCGAAATATTGGTCCTAGACCCACCTTTAAGTATACCGATCATCATATATTGACTAGCTGAGTCGAACTAGACATGTGTGTCCGTCCGTCTGTCCATTATAATTTGTAAACACGATACGGGTCACAGTTATGGACCAATCTTCACGAAAATTTGCAAGTAGGATGTGTTCTGACAAATGAAGACCCCTATTTTTGGTAAAGATCGGCTAATATTTAGAGGATGAAATAGACCAAATACCAAATTTTTGTCGATTTTTTTTTTGTCGCTCCAGAGATCACAATTATTGCCCAAACATGGAGGAAGGGATCGGCTGAAAGAATAAGCATGCCTGTTTTGATAAAGATCAGTTAATAAATTAATTTGTGTGAAAAATTACAACATTTGTATTCTATTGGGTATATATTTGCACCTGAAGGTCCTAGACCCGAGAAGTTGATAGTATATCCAAGAGGAGTGGTTGAATTTTAAATTAATACCAATTATATTTTCATATGTGCTCGGATGTGGGAGTTACACTGAAATATTTACAGGTGCTTACGTACTCATATATTATTTAGTAAACCATTACCACACTAGAGGGGGGAAATATAGCGCTGATCGCCATGAGGTTCCAGTTATGGTCAAGGATTTTTCGGTGATGATCAGATAATAATTTTGGGATGAAGTGAACCGAAAACTTTTTTTGTTTTGAGTCGATCTATAGGTCAAAATTTTAAGCCGAATATCGCAACACAACCCACTGTGAAGGGAATCTGGACAGGTAATTAGAAGGTCTGTACTGATTATTAGTTATATTTGTTGACCACTAGTCGGTCAAGAGGTGGCAATAGAACCGCAATAGTTAAATTTTCGTGAAAGTTGTGTAGGGTATCATATGGTCGGTCCCCTCCATCTATTCTGCTCCGCTCACTGGTTTAGAAATATTTTTTGTGCATTTCTTAAAACTATTACACAGTGACACATTTTTCAACTTTAAAATCTTGAACCAATCGAGACCCCCAAAATCTTGAAGCTTGTGATGGTGGAAGAAATTCCCTAGCTGGGTTTTGCATTATTAGCTAAGGTTTTCTTTTAAATTAATTTTTAAAATATTCGACTGGAGGTGGATTTTAACACAATTTTCGAATAATACGTACTTATTATTGAGTCTATATCTCGTGAACTATTCGAAATATTGCTTTTCTCTCTTAAGCAATATTCTTCCTCTTAATTAGATCTAAAAATTTTTTCTTGAGATAAAATCAATAAAACATCATCATACTGAAAATAGCACAACTGCAAAAAAATTTAAATTTCGTCATACTTTTTCGATGTTTTTCACACTTATTTCAGAAACTGCTACTGAATCGACCAAACAATATATGACAAGAAGATAGCCAATAGCAAATCAAACAACTCTTCTTAAAACCCCGATTTCATTGGTTGACTCCTTCACATAGTTATAGCCTCACAAATTCATCAAAATGAACCAAAGAAATCCACTCCCAATTGTATGTTTATAGAAATAAAAATTGCTATGCTTTTTCAATAAATAGGTACAAAATTAAAGTAAAAATTAAAATGTTTGGGCCCTTTAGTTTTTTTAGAAGACAGGTCGCAGCGATATATGCACAGGGTAAACGCAGGAACTGGAGGTGCGACCTTAAAGTTGTCAATATTTTGGATGGCCAAAGTATTATTGCTTTTTGTGCCGTTGGGACACACGAGCAAAAGTCGATCACTACTCGCACACAGCAGAGCCACTAATAAAAACCAGTAAGGAAAGTAGTAAAGTCGGACGGGGCCGACTATATGATACCCTTCACCACTTTGGGTATATTCAACAGATGAAGGACCAGTAAACTTAAATTGGATCCATAAACATGTCGTTCTGCAACCGATACTAAATTTTTCATTTGGTCGGATATAGAAGCTATATCTAAATCTGAACCGAATTCAGGAAAATTAACACACATCATTCTAGACCTAATTCATTGTTCTGTGCCAAATTTCATGCAAATCGAATGATAAATACATACTCTGGTGCACCATTTACCTTAAATCGGACGAAAATATATATGGGAGCTATATCCAAATCTGAACCGATTTTCACCAAACTTAGCACACATCATTCTAGTCTTAATTCAGTACGCTGTGCCAAATTTCGTGCAAATCGGAAGTTATTTAGGGACGTTGGAGCACCATTTACCTTAAATCTGACGAATATATAAATGGGAGCTATATCTATATCTGAACCGATTTTCACGAAATTAAGCACACATCATTCTGGACGTAATTCAGTACCCTATGCCAAATTTCATGCAAATCGAATATGTATAGGGACTTTGGTGCCCCGTTTACCTTAAATCGAACGAAAATATATATGGGAGCTATATTTAAATCTGAACCGATTTTCACCAAACTTGGCACACATCATTCAAGATTCAATTCAGTACGCTGTGCCAAATTTCGTGCAAATCGGAAGATATATAGGGACTTTGGTACACCATTTATATGAAATCGGACAAAAATATATATGGTAGCTATGTCTAAATCGGAACCGTGTTTTCACAATTTCAATAGGTTTCGTCCTTGCGCCAAATTCCATCCAATTCGGATCATGTGTCTATCTCGTTCCCTTTTGCCTGTTACAAGCATATGCACAAAGACATAATACCCTGTACCACAGTGTGGTGAAGGGTATAAATATAAGTGACATATTGTTGCCACCGCTGCATATTACCCTGTGCATATATGGCAGCGACATGTCTTCGAAAAAACCAAAGGGCCCAAACATTTTAATCTTTACTTTAATTTTGTACCTATTTTAATTTCTATAAACATACAATTGGGAGTGATTTTTTTGGTTCATTTTGATGAATTTGTGAGGCTATAACTATGTGAAAGAGTCAACCAACGAAATCGGGATTTTAAGAAGAGATGTTTGATTTGCTATTGGCTATCTTCTTGTCATATATTGTTTGGTCGAGTCAGTAGCAGTTTCTGAATTAAGTGTGAAAAAAACATGGAAAAAGTATGTCGAAATTTTAATTTTTTTGCAGTTGTGCTATTTTCAGTATGATGGTGATGTTTTATTGATTTTATCTCAAGAACAAATTTTTAGTTCTAATTAAGAGGAATAATATTGCCTAAGAGAGAAAAGCAATATTTCGAATAGTTCACGAGATATAGACTCAATAATAAGTACGTATTATTCGAAAATTGTGTTAAAATCCACCTCCAGTCGAATATTTTAAAAATTAATTTAAAAGAAAACCTTAGCTAATAATGCAAAACCCAGCTAGGGAATTTCTTCCACCATCACAAGCTTCAAGATTTTGGGGGTCTCGATTGGTTCAAGATTTTAGTGCTGCACAGTGTTATTAATCGTCCAACCAAAGGCACCCAACATAGGCGTGTGTTTTTTATGGGTCCCAAACCGAAAAAAGGTTGGATTTTTATACCCTTCACCACACTGTGGGTATTATGTCTTTGTGCACATGTTTGTAACAGGCAAAAGGAAACGAGATAGACACATGGTTCCTTTTGAGAATAAGCATAGAATCTTAAAAAGTGATTTATACATTCCGTCCATCTGTCCGTCTGTCTGTCCATGTTAAATTGTAAACAAAGTACAGGTCGCATTTATGATCCGATTTGGATGAAATTTGGCACAGCTCATTTGTTTGGCCCAAGGACGAACCCTATTGAAATTGGGCAAAATC